GAGGGAACCGCCAGAAGGCCCTCGGCGCTGGACCTCAGTGTCTGGGCTGAACGTTGGGGGTGGAGATGCTCCTTCAGGTATACTGGGCTGAGGCCGTTTAGGGCTTTAAAGGTCAGCACCAACACTTTGAATTGGGCTCGGAAACGTACTGGGAACCAGTCTAGATCTTTCAAGATCAGTGTTAAATGGTCTTGGCGGCCGCTCTGAGTCCCCAGTCCCCAATTTTTAGTATTATTTTTAAAGAAAAAAATCTCGTCTTATACACGGCAAAATACGGTCGTTTTCAGTAGAAGTTGAACTGCAGTGGAAGTTGAACTCCAGTGTTGCATGTGATGAATGCAGAATGAAAGGGATGCCGTCTTACATCCCTTTGGAGTCCTGTGGCTTGCTAAGTAGCTAAGCCTCTTAGTGACCCTTGTTTTCTTGTGCCTTTGGTCTGCACAAATGTTTCCCTAGACACAAAGTATATGTGCCACTCCCCCCTAGCGACGCCACTTTCAGCCGAGGCCATTGCAATGCAATGCCCGAAGTTCAGGCCGTGGGGTGTTCGTGATCAGCTGGAGATCAAAACTTGCTGGCATAAAATAAGGCCATGTGCCTGAATGCATCAACGTGTGTCACAAATTAGATAGTCGTTCTAAATACATGGCAGTGGCATAATTTGCATTTATTTGTGGGGGATTTCAAGGAAGTACTTTTGATGGACTGGAAATCAGAGTGACCCAACTGAGTGGCAACGGCTAAGACCGTTTTCACAAATAAGATTAAAATGTGACATATGAGTTCCTCTCTTTTTTTAAAAAATACATTTTTATTAAGTTTTACATAACAAATTTAAATTTAAACATATCATTCACCTCCTCATTTTGGATTCTCTGAATCCCTTGACTTCCCCCTGCCCTTCCATGGTTACCATTATCAATCTTTCTTTTCATCTGCTTATCTTATTTTCTCTAATTTGTTAAAAGAATAGTAATCTGTTTCCCCATAGCTTTTTGTACATCGCAAGCATTACTCAAATCCTGCGAAGGTTTTTAGTTGTTTACAGTGTTCTATGAAATTCCCCCATTCCTTCTTAAAGTTCTTCTCTTCCTGGGTTCTAATTTTCCCAGTCAGTTCTGCCATTTCGGTATAGTCCTTCATCTTTACCAGCCATTCCTCTCTGCCTGGAACTTTGTCTTCTTTCCATCTCTGGGCCAGTAGTATCCTCTCTGCTGTCATTGCGTACATGAATAGTCATTTCTGCTCCCTCAGAATCTCTGTACAGTGGTACCTCGGGTTAAGTACTTAATTCGTTCCGGAGGTCCGTTCTTAACCTGAAGCACCACTTCAGCTAATGTGGCCTCCTGCTGCCGCCACGCTGCCAGAGCACGATTTCTGTTCTCATCCTGAAGCAAAGTTCTTAACCTGAGGTAATATTTCTGGGTTAGCAGAGTCTGTAACCTGAAGTGTATGTAACCTGAAGCATATGTAACCCGAGGTACCACTGTACCTACAATTCCTAACGAAAAAGTCTCTGTCCCCCCCCACAAATGTTATTTTAAACATTTTTTTTCAACTCATTGTAGATCATTTCCCAGAATGCTTTAGTTATCTTGCACGACATGCGAGTTTCTCGTGTTTCTATGCCATGTACGACTGTTACCAGTGAGGGAGAACACGCAGAAGAGAGATGGGGGCCACATTCTACAGTTCTACATTCACAGCACTGCACAAGCCAATGAAAGGTTAAAGCCTCTTGTGTGAAGGTGGCCCATTGCACCTTGCTTTCTGCCAACCAGGTAGTGCCTTCATCTCCTGCGGCATTAATTCCCTGCAGCCTGGTAGGAAGAAGTCCGCTGCGCACAGACCCCGGCAGCACAATCTGGCTGGCACACATGGGCTTCGCTGAGAGGCAAACGCATCTGCAGGCCCCGTTCTGCGTCCTGGGAAAATGGTGGGGAGCGAGGAAGGAGAGAGAAAGGAGATGAAAAGGTGGATAAAAAGAAATTTGAAAAAAAAAGTAAGTGAAATATTCAAACTGGAAAGTGATATTATAGAAAGCTGCAGGGAGCACGCTTGAGTGCATTCAAATTTATTCAAACTCTGTGCCTGACATTGATGAATGCAACAGCTTTTTTCACAATATGTAGAGCGCACAGGACATTTAGAAGTGCACCATCCCCTTTCCCTGCAGCTGTCTCAGGCCTGGTTCCTAATGCCAGAGCGGCCCTGACCTCCAGATCCTCTTGACAACCTTCCCAATCTCTTAAAGGGGAAGCTAAGACAACCAGCAGGAGGAAGACGGGCTCATTTGACCAGGAAATTGGCGGGTAAATCTCGCGTTCGCTTTCTCTCTCAAGGATTGCTCTTAACACATTGGCAGCTCGGGAAGCTGCCTGGGAACCAAAGCCCACCAGGAAGGCCCCCACTTACCACCCCATTTCCAAAAAGAATGAACCCCCATTCAATATGCAACACAGTAGAGGCAGCAGTAGCTCCCTCTGGGGTTGGTTAGAGAGGAAGCTGCCTAGCGTCTGACAATTTTCACCAAGCACACATTGCACTTGGGCAGTTGCCGGGTGCCCAGAACCCTGTCAGGACCCTTCGCCAAGAGTGCCCACCTTGGGTTCTCCTTAGATTTCATTTCAGGCCCAGTGTTCCCTACAGCACCAGGCAGCTGGTTCTGTCCATCTTTTTACTTTACTGCAATGAATCCGACCTAGTGTTGCGTTGGGGCATGGTGAGAAATGGAAAGGGTGGCTAGACCCAGCTGCCAGCATCACTGTGATGGCCTGAGAATCCAATTCAGAGGCTGAACCTGAGGAATCCCAGCCTGCACAGGAGTCCCCACCTCCAGGACCTGCTGAGCCGGGGCTGGGGCTTGAACCTGAAGGGCCCTCACCTGTGTCAGATCCTCAGGAGCAGACACCAGCTGAATCCGCTCTGGCTCCGGAGGTGATCGAGGACCCATTGCCTGCAGGTGCTCCTCTCCCAGCCCTGTCAGGGGAAGGTGAGGTTGCCTCTGGGTCCAGTAACCCTCCAGCCTCTCCAGAGCTGCAGAGGCTCAGGGCAGAGAGGCGGAGGGAACTAAGTTCTCACAGGAGGAGTGCTCACCTCCAGGCCAGGAGAGGCGAGTCACCTGTGGGCCGGGTCTGCCCTATGCCTCGGGGCAGATAAAAGCCAGCCAGCCCCAGTCACAGGTTGCAGCAGCAACATTGTTGGTAGCCTGTTCCTGCCAGCACCCTGTCCTGCTCTTCCAGAGTTCCTGACCATGCCCGGCTCCTTGCCTTGGACCCCGCTTCGCCCTTGACGGACAGCCTCCATACCCTCGACCTAGGACCGGACTCAGACCACGCCGCATGGTAACCCCCCCCCAGAGCACAATCACCCAGAGTGTCCAGGTAACCCCAATGGGGCTCACTAATGGGGGAAGGTCCCCATCAGAGGACACTATGCTCAGGGCTCCCCTAGACCCCCCACCGGTCTAATCTTCTCCTGCATCTGAGCATATCCTTTCTTCCCCATCCCAGAATGAGCTCTAGGCAGTAGCAGCCTGTGAGGTGGTGCAGGCGAGGCACCATTGCTTTCCCGGCTCTCTAATACAGTGAGTCGCTGCTGCTTACTGAGAGGGACGCGATTGGCGCTGTGGTCTAAACCACTGAGCCTCTTGGGCTTGCTGATCAGATGGTCGGCGGTTCGAATCCCTGTGACGGAGTGAGCTCCCTTTGCTCTGTCTCAGCTCCTGCCAACCTAGCAGTTCGAAAGCACACCAGTGCAAGTAGATAAATAGGTACCGCTGTGGCGGGAAGGTAAACGATGTTTCCGTGCGCTCTGGTTTCCATCACGGTGTCCTGTTGCGCCAGAAGCGGTTTAGTCCTGCTGGCCACATGACCCAGAAAGCTGTCTGCGGTCAAATGCCGGCTCCCTCGGCCTGAAGTGAGATGAACGCTCCAACCCCATAGCCACCTTTGACTGGACTTAACCGTCCAGGGGTCCTTTACTTTTCATCTTTACCTTACGGAGAAGGAGAGGGGGGAGGCAAGGTGTGGGTAATCTGGCCCAGTGTAATGTCTGGTGGTGGATGCAATCTAATGCTCCTGCCACAAGGCGCCACACTGGGCGCATTGCCCCACACTGGGTGCCCCAAACTTTGCCCCTTCCCTCTCTGCAAGTGCCAATGGCCAACTGTGTTGGGAACTGGGGAACTGTGCCCTACCCATGCCCTCTCACCAGCTGCTACTGGTTCTAGACCAGCCTGGAACTTTTAGCTCACCATGGGCATGAGGGAGTGTTACGAATCAGGTTATGTTAGCCAAGGACCCGATGGGAAATGCCACTCAGCAGGTCCAGGGATCTGAGAGCAGCAGGTGGGACATCCACGATCCATTGCACTGGCTGCTCCTTGCAAATTTCTCCTTCCCTAGAATGGGAATCTGGGCTCCCCTCAGACCTGGATAGGGGATGAGGAAGAAGTGGGGCTTTGTTTGCACTTCCGTGCGAATCTACCTAACTCACACTTCGTGATCCAATATGCAAACAAAACACAGCCATTCTTCAGAATTCGTGCTGAATTTTGCAAAGCGCTTCTCCAACCAGCCAACATGTACCAAATGCATATAGTACAGGGAAATGCACAAAGATGCGTGCATTCAGGAAAATAACACGCAAAAATGCTTTGCATTGGGGAGAACTGTTTGCAAAAATGTATATATTAGTGAAAACGGCATTCCTTAGGAGAAATCTGCGGTGAAATGGCTTTTCATTTTATTTGTTTAACAAAATCTACATGCCGCTTGACTGTAAAACAAGACAACAACCCCTAAGCTGTTTAGAATAAACATTTAAAATTATCAGTTGCAAATAGTTAACGACATTTAAAGGATGATCAAAATCAACAGCAGGCTAAGGAAAGATTGAAGCACATCAGCATCTACATAGAATGAGAGTCATAGAAAGGTAGAGTTGGAAGGGCCCACAAGGATCATCTAGTCGAACCCCACTGTAATGCAACAATCTTTTGCCCAACATGGGGCTTGAACTCATCACCTTGAGGTTAAGAGTCTCAGGCTCCACCAACTGAGCTATCCTCTCCCAGGCTTGCCTAAACAAAAAGGCTTTAAGCAGGTGCTGTAAAGAGTACAGCCAAGGCACATGCCTGATGCAAACAAGCAGGAGTTCCGAAGTGCAGTTCCGTTTGAGGATTTCAAAGACAAATATTATTTTATGCATTGTGGCTTGCCGTTGTTTTATCAATTGTAGTTTAGAAATTGTTTATTGTAATTGCTAAAGAGTGAATTTCTGTTTAATTTTTATATGCCGATATTCAATATCATTCTATACTATTCTAATGAATCTTGGTTGTTATTTTATTTGACGTAGGTTGCGTATTTTAAAGTTATGTTTTAGTGTCAGATTTTTGTATTGCGTTAGATGGTTATAAGGTGTACATTCTTTGCTTCTTCAGCTTACAAACCACCCTGGGTATTGTAAGATAGAAAGACGGTATACAAATTAAAAGTGATGACGATGATGATTTCAAAAACAAATAAGCTGTGGAAATGTGGAGAAGCGCATTTAAGATTGGGAAAATGGCAGAAACAAAAACGGACAGATTTGTCTATTCCTAGCGCTTGATACAGGTTTCTTTGTTCCATTCCGACACATACAGATGTTGAGGTCAAACTTTGACGGCCCTCGAATGTTTCCAGAATTCGCCCACGACTTTGGGTGAGGTTTTTGTGCCCTGCTTTAAAAAAGGGTGTTTGTATGCTGTGCTTTTTTAATTAAAAAATATATGTTTAGGGGTACTCTCATTCTCCTGCTCACCTTGAAATACTGCCCCTCAATGAGGCCAAACTTAAGATTCCCAAAATGTTTAGGGGTATGCGTTCCCCTAGTAAAAAGCACTGTGTGTATGTATTCAGTGCTCTTTTTCTAGTAAAATTGGTGCCAGAACTCACCATGAACGCCTCCCTTGTTTTCTTAGAATTAGGGTTGCCACATTTCAAACCAGGACACCCCAAAAATGGTTGAGCTTTTTAAGAGGAAACCCCCTAAAACAATGTGATATTTTCTTTATTGACGTGCCTAAGATCCAAGACAAAGCGCCGACTTTTGGAAATCCCCCCGGACGTCAATTCCACCTTTGAAATCCCGATAATGTCTAGGGAAATCCTGGTGTATGGCAGCGTTACTTAGAATGGCAATGGCACCCACAGGAGAGGTGCCAGAACTTAGTTCCGGCTATAAAAAAGGGGGCCCTTTGGTGGTGAGAGAGGTTGGGGTTGGCCTAGGGTGTGGTTGTTTGTTTGTGATTGGCTGTGGTGATCTTTGTTTTCGTGTGTGAGTGGGGTGTTTTGGATCAGGTTAGCCATATTGAATTGTATGCTGTTGGTGGATTATTGTCATTGTCTTGTTGGGCTGTGTATGCGATAAAGGGGAGCCATACCAGGGTAAAGGCGTCTTCTTCTGTTTGTCCCCGTGTCAGTTTCAGTTTATTGGTTAATTTTCCTAGTAGGGCTGTTTCCCATACTATTTGGTACCATTGGTCCATGCTTACTCCTGACAGGTCTCTCCAATCTCTGGTTAGCACGTAGCTAGCTGCTGAGCAGCTAAACCCTACTATATCAGTGTATCTGAAAATAGTGAACATCGCACACACGAGCCTATACCCAGAACCATCTTCCCCCACTTGGTCTCCCAGGCCCTAATGTTCCAACAATTGAAACTGATTTGTAAAAATGTTACATGGAAAAAATATGAGAGACATTACACCATAGCTGTCAACTTACAGATTTGAAAATAAGGGACCAGCAGCCTCGAAAATAAGGGATCAGCAGCCAAAATAAGGGATCAACAATTACTTTGATAAAATACATATTTTGCTTCATGCCAGAAATGGCTTTAGATACCTATTAGGTCCATAAATTGCCATCTCGCATATATTCAACAGAGAAAACAGCAACAATTTGTTGTTGACAAAGCAAGCTGGACATAGAAAGGGCCCCATTACCTTCAGTAGCTTATTTAAGAGACATCATCAATAAGGGACAGCAGTGGGACATGGTACTGGAATAAGGGACTGTCCCGCCAAATAAGGGATGCTTGACAGCTATGCATTACATATACTTCTGTAAAACAAGAAAATATTTAATAAAAAAAGGGGGGCCCTGAGTGTTTTAAAGTTGTTTGAGGCTGAGGAGAGAAACCAACACTGGGAGTTGCTACCTGGATAACGCACACCCCTTCTCAGGCAACGGGCTATGGAGCAAGAGCGTTCTCCTGACTGTTAGTTAGGACCCCGTGCATGTAATGAAGGCGATGCCAAATGCAAGGGCCGACATGTTCAGTGGGCTTGACAGGGAAGCAGAATCTCTCTCTCTCTCTCTCCCCCAGCCTTCTCGTCATGGTGTAAACAAACAGGCTAAACTCTGTGAGATTTACTGTGCCCAGCGCTGGTGGCTCCCATTGCCATGCAGTGAGATATTTCTATACAGGCAGGGTAAGCACTTTCCATTTTATACCTCAGCAGCTTTATAGCATCTTAAGGATTTCTGTACATGCCTGGCTTCACATCCAGGGGGGAAAAAAACCAAGCTTGTAAATAAATACTAAATATATATGAACGGAAAAGACAGAAGAGGAGAGTGCTTGAAAGAGCATGCAAATATACACAGGAAAATGAGGCGGAGGGAGGAAAAGAAGCGTCTCTCTGTGTATTGGGGGTGGGTGGGGGGAGAGAAGGATGCAGGTGGGAAAGGACGGAGGAGAAGAGAGGAGGACAAGGGCGGCAAGGAAGGAAAGCATGTACACAACTCACAACAGGAGGGAGAAGAGAAGGTTGGGGAGGGGACCTTAAGAGACAGGTAATTATCTGTCCCAACCAGGTGGGAAGTAACAGCAATGGTGCCAGTAGCTCTGTGGCAAAATGGGAGCTGTGAATTTTCCATTGGGCTAGGGGAACAGCGAGTGCTTTTATTCTGGGGGTACGCAGGGGTACGCATACCCCTAAACATTTTGTGAATCTTTGTAAAAAGGTAAAGGGACCCCTGACCATTAGGTCCAGTCATGGCCGACTCTGGGGTTGCGGCGCTCATCTCGCTTTACTGGCCGAGGGAGCCGGCGTACAGCTTCCGGGTCATGTGGCCAGCATGACTAAGCCGCTTCTGGCGAACCAGAACAGCGCACAGAAACGCCATTTACCTTCCCACCGGAGCGGTACCTATTTATCTACTTGCACTTTGACGTGCTTTCGAACTGCTAGGTTGGCAGGAGCAGGGACCAAGCAATGGGAGCTCACCCCATCGTGGGGATTCGAACCGCCGACCTTCTGATCGGCAAGTCCTAGGCTCTGTGGTTTAACCCACAGCGCCACCCACGTCCCTTGTGAATCTTTGTACTTTTGTCTTTATTTTTCCCAATTTGAACGATGAAATGGTGATTTCCTTGAGTAAAAATGAGAGTACCCTTGAACATTTTTATTTTTATTTTTATTAGAAAAAACACACTGGGTACAGCCATGCCTGAGGTGAAGCCTCTGTGGTGGCTGAAAGGTCAGAAGGAAGGAGCTTTGTGCAATTACTGTCTCCCTCCCTCCCTCCAACCCAACCCCAAATGCTCTCTATGGGACATTTCCTCCCTTCTCCTTCTGCCTTATGGTTCGCCTTTTGTTTGCTAAACTGCCCAAAGGGCCAGGCTCTCTCAGCTGTTGTCACTTGGCACAGAGCCAATTAGGCGGACCAGATTTACGGAGGATCTGGTTCCCCGCATCTCATTGTTTCGCTCTTCCCCCTTCTCGTTCCTGTAACCTGCCGTTTGCCTTCCTCTCGTGCCATTTCCCCAGGTGCAAGCAAGGTCTCTTCCTCCACACCCCACTGATTCAGCCATCAATGGCAACCTGGCTTATTGCTCGAACCAGAAACCACAATGGCTGTTTGTTGTCTCCAGTTTCAGCCAACGTGGCCTCTCTCATCTTGTTCCTTAGTAACCCACTGGAATGAAGGCGGCAGCGAAAAGGCCCCTTGGTTTTGCTAATGCGAACAAAATATGCTACCCCCGAGTTGGAGAAGTGCCTTATAACACACGCACCCCTTGGGACCAGCTCTGCCCAGTCTCATCCTCTCCTCCGATACATGGACAAAAGGCGGGAAAACATATTAAAAATTCGTTCTTCCTTGTTTTCACTTTTGTCCTGATGCCTGTTGCTCTCAACGCAGGAGTTTTGACCCTACTGAAAGTTCCTCCAGAGCTTTTCTCAATTCTGCTAAGGACTCTGCAAAAATTCCATGATTCTGAGAAGACCATCGCATCATCCATCCAGCTGCAGAGATATTTCTGTCTTGTCATCACGCCTGTTGTTGTCATATTAACCAGGAGAGCCAGGGTAGTAAAGTCTTTAGCAAAATAAAGCTAGAAAAACATGGGTTCAAATCTCCATGCCACCATGAAGCAAACCAGGTAATGTTAGGCCAGTAGGACTTGCTGGTGTGTTTTTTTCTACTTTCACATTCCCCAAATGAAGGATGCTAAAATGCTGCAGTATGATTTGGGAATTCAAAATATATTTGGATTAATATAAATTAGCTTTGCTTGGGAAGTAAAATGTGTGAAAAATTGCATTAAAAACAATGGCCAAGTACTTGCAATTATAATGTATGTTAATATTTTTATTTCGCATTAGCTGATGTTTTCAGAAGGCAAAATTAAAATTCTTTGGTTCTCCGAAAGCAGTGCTTACTCATCAGACGTAGACTTACCAAGCAAAATGCTTCCCACTCACAAAAATAACAGCAGATTTGAATTCCTCAGACCTAAAAAATTATCTTTAAGACACCTCACTGAAGAAATTGGCCAAATTTGTTTCACCCTCTAAAACGGGCCATTCATTCTCAGCCTAACCTACATCAGAGAGCTGGTTGAAGGATAAAAAGGGTGGTTGCCTGGGTGAGCAGTATAAGCAATTGAGAACTCCTTGGCTGAGGAGTGGGATAAAAATGTAATGACTAATTATCCCAAACAGATTACTTCTATGGTGTTTTTATTTGAACCTGCCTTGGGCTGCTTCCACACTCAAGTCCTTTCAACTGCTGAGGCACTGTTGTTCTGCAATTAGCTGTGACTGGGATTAAAAACAGAGGTACCACAGATCGCTTAATATAATAGCTCTATGTTACCCGGCAACGCTATGATCTTCTGTAATACGTGCCAGAGGCACCAACTTGTGCCGAAGATGGAGAGGGCCAGATGATGCCACAATGCTCAGTGTTGTTTGTGATGTCACACATGTGATGCACGGTGTCGTGTGTGATGTCACACCCGTGGCATATGACATCATGGGATGTTGGGGGAGGAACCAGGGGGCGGAGATAGCTGACAGCTATTCCTCTCTTGCACTCGAAAGCTTTCCATGACAGGAGAAGCAAAAACCAACCACACTTGGCTCTTCAACTGGGGTTTTTTTGGTATGTTTTTAGTTGTTTCTGTTTCAGTCCTGTCAGGGAAAAGACGAGTTACTGATACTAATACTAATACTAATGCTAATACTAATACTAATACTAATACTAATGTTGTTGTTTAGTCGTTTAGTCGTGTCCAACTCTTCATGACCCCATGGACCAGTGCACGCCAGGCACTCCTGTCTTCCACTGCCTACCGCAGTTTGGTCAAATTCATGTTCGTAGCTTTGAGAACACTGTCCAACCATCTCGTCCTCTGTCGTCCCCTTCTCCTTGTGCCCTCCATCTTTCCCAACATCAGGGTCTTTTCCAGGGAGTCTTCTCTTCTCATGAGGTGGCCAAAGTATTGGAGCCTCAGCTTCAGGATCTGTCCTTCCAGTGAGCACTCAGGGCTGATTTCCTTCAGAATGGATAGGTTGGATCTTCTTGCAGTCCATGGGACTCTCAAAAGTCTCCTCCAGCACCATAATTCAAAAGCATCAATTCTTCAGCGAGCAGCCTTCTTTATGGTCCAGCTTTCACTTCCATACATCACTACTGGGAAACTAATACTAATACTAATTTATCACAAGTGTCTACTTGTTAGGGCTTTATTCCTGTTTCAAATGTCTATTGTTTTTGCATTTTTAACTGTTTTTATGTGCAAATTGCCTTTGAAATGGTGGTTTAGAAGATGATTAAAAAAGCAATTGTAACAACAACAACACTAAATTGCCCCAATTTTTGTTCTCAGACAGGTCGGGAAGCCTTTAATTACTGGTTTTCTTGCATTACCTTTTTCTTTTCATTTTCCCCCAACAAAGACCACTATTTCACTATTGAAAGAAAAAAATATGGGGGGGGCAGGGGAATAATAAGAGGAAACCAGAAATTAAGGCTGCTAACTACCCCTGGAATAGAAAGCAACTCTGGAACACAATTAGCAGGTTATTCATCCCAAATTACCTAGCTGTGGTCGACAGTCAAGAACTGCAGACAAAATATTTTAAATTAAAGGCAATACTTGAGTAACGCTTTTGTTTGCCTGCCGAATAGGCTGGTACAAGCAGTTAGGTATTACTGCAATTATTTGGACATAGAAATAAGGAACGTGGAAATAGATATTGACAAGTTGACAACAGCAACTGTTCTCTCACTAAAAAGAGAATGAGCAAAGGATGGGGGAAGCTGTGGACTTTTGCTCTTGCTTGGCTTGGGAAAGGTACTTCTGGGCTTCTTTAAAGGATGCCTCAGAAAACAACCCTGTTCCTACCTTTCTCCTGCTCAGATCCCAGCTCCACTGCTCACCCAGCCATTGAAAAACCATCAAAACCCTTCAAATCACTTAAGAAAAAGAAGGTACTTTTTATCATATGCGGTGGACGTGTCCTAAGGTGAAAGACTTCTGGGAAAAGATTTATAATGAGTTGAAAAAAATGTTGAAAAATACATTTATTAAGAAAGCAGAAGCCTTTCTACTTGGAATACTAGGACTGGAATTGCCCAAAAAAGATGTTAGACTGTTTTTGTATGCCACTACAGCAAGGGATGTGGGTGGCGCTGTGGGTTAAACCACAGAGCCTAGGACTTGCCGATCAGAAGGTCGGCGGTTCGAATCCCCGCGACGGGGTGAGCTCCTGTTGCTCGGTCCCTGCTCCTGCCAACCTAGCAGTTTGAAAGCACGTCAAAGTGCAAGTAGATAAATAGGTACCACTCTGGCGGGAAGGTAAACGGCGTTTCCGTGTGCTGCTCTGGTTCACCAGAAGCGGCTTAGTCCTGCTGGCCACATGATCCGGAAGCTGTACGCCGGCTCCCTCGGCCAATAAAGTGAGATGAGTGCCGCAAACCCAGAGTTGGTCACGACTGGACCTAATGATCAGGGGTCCCTTTACCTTTTTACAGCAGCAAGACTTTTATTAGCCAAAAACTGGAAATCGCAAGAAATACCAACAATAGAAGAATGGCAGATGAAGATGTTGGACTTTTTGGAGCTGGGTGACCTGACTGGAAGAATCCATGACCAGAAAGAAGAGGAGATACAAGAGGATAGGAAGAAATTTAAAGAATATTTAGCTAAATATTGTGATATAAGATAAATAGAAAATTCTTGGAAATAATAAATAGGCTTAGGGGGTAGAATAAGAAAATGTGGTAGTAAATATTAAGGATTAAAATATTAATAAAGGAGAAGAGGTTAGTAAATGAAAGGAGTTCATATTATTAGAAATATGAATTTGGAGAACTGTTATACAGGTGACATAATGAAATTCAGTTAGAGCGGATTCGAGGAAGTCAGTTATCAATGTAATGAGAATTAGGTATTTGAAGAAACAATTTTTCTTTGTGCTTAGTTTATTGCAGTGTAATGTGTTTTTCTTTGCTGTGTATTTTGTTATGTCATTTTTGTGATAGATGTGGAAAATCAATAAAAAATTGGGGGGGGGGACTTTTCCAATCACTTAGCTAGAATTTCGGATGGCAGCAGTCGCAACAATGTTGAAGGGAGGGGCGTCAGATTTTTCCCACATGCCGTTTTTGTGTGTGTGTGAACGCTTATCTAGCCATAGCATAAAATAAAATATAATATGACGTGGATCACTCTTTAAACAAGAACTGGAGTCTTTGAGGGTCCTGGCCAATGGTCAAAAACTTCAACTGTACTTTTCTCCTTGGGATGGATGTTCAAGTTTTTTCTATGAGCACACAGCTTTCCATCTTCACTGTCAAATGCAGCCCTGCACAAAAGCGCTAAAGGATCGCTTGATTGTGCATGTTGCAATGGAGGGAAAGATGCAGGATAACTCAGCTAGTTAGAACATGGTGCGGATAACGCCAAGGTTGCAGGTTCGAGCCCCGTATGGAACAGCTGCATATTCCTACATTGCAAGGAGTTGGACAAGATGATAATCAGCTACTTCCTTTAATTACAATGCTTCAGCAGCCAGCCTTTTCTTAGGAAATGCAGGGAGTGTTGATTCTGTCATTGGAAGTGGAGCCTTCCGCTGTCTACTCAGAAGTAAGTCCTGTGGTATTCAATGAAGCTTACTCCCGGGTAACTGGGTAAAGACTGTGCCACCTTACACTGCAATCCTAAGCATTTTACTCAGAACTAAGTCCCACTGAGGGGACTTGGATGGTGCTGTGGTCTAAACCACAGAGCCTAGGGCTTGCCAATCAGAAGGTTGGTGGTTCAAATCCCCTCGATGGAGTGAGCTCCAGTTGTTCGGTCCCAGCTCCTGCCCACCTAGCAGTTCGAAAGCACATCAAAGTGCAAGTAGATAAATAGGTACCGCTCCGGCGGGAAGGTAAGCGGTGTTTCCGTGCGCTGCTCTGGTTCGCCAGAAGCGGCTTAGTCATGCTGGCCACATGACCCGGAAGCTGTCTGCAGACAAACACCGGCTCCCTCAGCTTAAAAGCGAGATGAGTGCCACAACCCCAGAGTCGTCCGCGACTGGACCTAACAGTCAGGGGTACCTTTACCTTTAAGTCCCACTGAATTCAAAAGGGTTTACTCTATGGTATGTCCCTGTTGTCAGGATCATAGCATCATAGGGACAATATCAACAGACAGTGGGGAGTACAGTTGTACCTTGGATCCCGAACGCCTTGTGAGTCAAACGTTTTGGCTCCTGAACGCCACAAACCTGGAAGTGAGTGTTCCGGTTCACGAACGTTCTTTGGAACCCATATGTCTGACACAACTTCCACGACTTTTGATTGGCTGTAGGAGCTTCCTGCAGTCAATTGGAACCACAACTTGGTTTTTGAACATTTTTGAAGTCAAAGAGATTTCTGGAACGGATTCCATTTGACTTCCAAGGTACGACTGTATTGCTGGGCTGCAGGCAAAGTGAGTGTGACCTGGACTACCCTAAAGGACGTAGAAATACTCTCAATTTGCAAAAGTGTGAAAAGATTCACACAATGTTTGTCATCTAATGTGTGTGGGAGACATAGTCAAGTATGCATGTACAGATAAATACGGATTAATTTGTTCCTCACACACATCCATCACCTTCTTCATATAGCCTTGGTGACTGTAGCAAAATGGAAAGATGTTGATGGTTCAAAATGCGCTTTAATGGTTGCAAAAATGCTCATATCTGCATGTTTGTATATCATGGAAAAATGAGTGTGTGAAGGAGAACCTTGACTGTATAAATTGTGCTTGAAACTGGGAAGGTTTTGTTCATTCACAATACGCTCTTTTGAGAACATCCGCCACCTTTAACATATACACTGATGATGTTTGTCTTTGGCTATGCGAAGTGAAATGAGAAGCAAGGAGAAGCATCTCTTCCAGATTCATCATTCCAGAAAAGGAAAGCACGCTTCATAAACAGGTCTATGTAATATGGCCAGAGTGGCTCTTGTTTTGCACAGAAAAATTCTGTGCAAAGGAATTGCAGCAAAAGTGCATCTTTATGGAACCCAAAGTCAAGTTTATTTTGCACAAGCTTGCCTGCTGCACCTGAGGGCTGTTCTCTTTCTTTTCTACTGTTGCTTCAATTTATACAGAACCAAGTACTCCCCCCACCCAAGTAATACAGTGAATGGGGGGGGGGACGATATAAATTAGTGAGGGTTATTGGCTGTGGACATGGGCTAGGCTGCGCATTTTGGGGGCTGTTTCAGCTGTTAGTTTCTGTATCTGTTCCACATCAAAGGAACTTCTAACTTACGGTCTCATCCAGACTTCCACTTGTCTCACTGCTTTCGCCTAGAAAAAAACTTCTGTTTACTGCTGAATCGGAATAAACGTCAATCAGGTTTTGTAGGATTGACATTTGTTCCTATTCAGCGTTAAAACAGCTGGTTTTCCTAGGGAGAGTGAGGGGACGGACGAAAAACTGCTTGGACCCATCAAAGAATATTCCCCTGTCACGTCTGAAAAAGGGGTCTATTGTGTAAGTCTGTCTTGTGTGATTTACAGGCCTCATGGCTCAAATGACTCACTGAAATTGAGTACAGTGGTACCTCGGGTTACAGACGCTTCAGGTTACAGACGCTTCAGGTCACAGACTCTGCTAACCCAGAAATAGTACCTCGGGTTAAGAACTTTGCTTCAGGATGAGAACAGAAATTGTGCGGTGGTGGCGCGGTGGCAGCGGGAGGCCCCATTAGCTAAAGTGGTACTGCTGGTTAAGAACAGTTTCAGGTTAAGAACAGACCTCCGGAACAAATTAAGTTCTTAACCCAAGGTACCACCGTAGTTATAACATCCCTAATACCAGCACCCAATATTTTGTAGATCAGCAAGCAAGGCACCTCAATGAACATTTTACTGGACTTGGGAATCTGGCAAATGTCTGATCTTCATATTCTCTAGAGCAGACCTTAAGATCACTTTGCCATGTCTTGGCAGCAGCAGACCTTAAGATCACTTTGCCATGTCTTGGCAGCAGCAGACCTTAAGATCACTTTGCCATGTCTTGGCAGCAGCAGCAGCTGGTACATATCATTCCTTTTTGGCTGCAGTTGTGACAACAAAGTATCACCTGGTGGCTGCCATGTTGTCTCTGAAATAATCTGAAACTATTGGAGAATATTCGCGTGCCTGCAGAGTGTTCAGATAATATTCGCTATCAAAATTCGCAGAGGATTCCCCCACCCCACCCCGGGAACAAATTTATTTCAGCTTCACTTGAAAGATAGTTTTGTTTCATTTATTTTAAAGGTTGTTTTCATTGTCCATTTTAAAATTTAACCCATCCAGGCCTTCGAGATAGCGCATCTGAAGTCATGCTGCCTGCCTAATGAACAAATGTCCAGCAGCTCCTTAGAGACCAACTAAGTTTGTTCTGGGTATAAGCTTTCGTGTGCGTGCACACTTCAGATATAATGAAACAGAAGTCACCAGACTCTCATATATAGTGGGAGGGTCTGGTGACTTCTGTTTCAGTGTATCTAAAGAAGTGTGCATGCACGCGAAAGCTTATACCCAGAACAAACTTAGTTGGTCTCTAAGGTGCCACTGGACAATTTTTTAATTTATTTTGCCCAATGAACAAACATTTTAATGTAATATGGCTTACTATCAGTACATTCCTCCACCAGGGCCAGGGCCTTTTCAGTGATGGCTCCGACCTGGTGGAATGCTCTGTCCCATGAGACTAGGGCCCTTCAGGATTTAACCTCCTTCTGTCGGGCCTGTAAGACAGAGCTATTCCACTTGGCCTTTAATTTGAATTCAGCCTGATCTTTTATTTCCCTTCTCTTCCTTCCCCCTCCCCTTTTATGAAGATCACCCGCTCTGAGACCCCACAGCTAATTCTCCCCTGGCCTCCTTGCTGGCCCAAGTAGGACCAATTCAGCCAGCTAGCCCTAACTGATTTTTGAGTTTTATTGTTATTCATGTTTTTATGCTGTATTTTATGCTGCTTTTATAATTAAGTGTTTTAAAGTGTTTTAAATTTGTTGTTAGCTGCTCTGAGCCCGGTGTTTGAACTGGGAAGGGCGGGGTATAAATAAAAAATTATCATTATTATTATTATTCCCACCAGCACTCCCTTGTCAACTCCACACTCTCCTCTGCACCCACCTTTTTAATTTATTATTTGTTGCATTTAACTCCCACCTCCCCCCCCCCCCGAGCTCAAGGTGGCTTACAGAATTTCCCTGCTCCTTATTTAAACCCTGTGAGGTACGTTAGGCTGAGAGTTAGTGACTGGCCCAAGGTCACCCAGTGAGCTTCATGGCTAAGTTGGGAATCGAACCCAGCTCTCCCAGGTCCTAGTCCGACACTCTAACCGCTGTGCCACCACTGGGTCCATTCTGCACCTGAGGTCAGTCCAGGTACCACAGTGTCAGGCGGCAGAGGAACCAACCCCCACGGCAGGTTGCCATGAATGGACAAGACATGGAAAAATCCTTACCATCTGCTTTTATTCAATATTCACAGAGAGAGGCTTGGGAATGTAGCCTCTTGGAATAATGGCATTGCTTGGAGTGAATCTCAGGAGTCCAGTCCCTGGCTTGATAACACAATGAGCGTAGTTAATTAAAAAGGAAGATTCATTGTCAAAACGAACAGATAGCTCCGGATGGCTTAACACAGCCTTTGCCCTCATCAGTCAAGATGACCCTTCTGAAGACTGCTTCCGGTGTGACAAGAAGCAACTGAACTTTCGCTTCGTACGCATTTTGCTTCCTATCTTGCAGCCCTCCTATTCGTCGAGACCTCGGACTGAGTGCCTCAGCTCCCTCCTTATCCCCATTCTCTGAGAGGCTGTCTCTTAACTCTTTCCCGCCTGTTTGTGCTTCCGGCGAGCTTTGACTGCGTTCTCGCTTGCTCCCCGCCATTCCCTTATCAGCCGGCATTCCAAGGGGCGGGGGAGTTGGCGCTAGTCGATGCTCATCCTGTCTGGCAGTTAACCCTCTCTGTTCTTGGCTGCTTTCTTCAGTTGGCAGCAACCTTTCCCTGGGAGCTGGCTCATTCATTCATGACAGTGAATCTCCACCCCTCCCACTTCTTCATGAGTCATCGCTACAGGTGCTGGACAGTTCCCTCTGCCTTTGAGCTCTTTGCTCTCCTACTTTCAAGGCCTGCCGTGTTCTAGGAGAAGGGGGTCTGGAATGCTTTCTAAAGACACTGAGTCCATCAGCTGTCTCTCCCCTGGTACTGCTTCTACCTCCTCCATTCCCATTATTTCCCAGCTTTTCCTCTGAGCTGTGACTTCCCTCAAACCCCTGTTGTAATTCTGAACTGTCTCCGTCTTCTCTAGAAGGGTCAGGCTGGGGAGGCAATCTCCATCATCCCTCCTCTGCCCAGTCCCTGTGTGCTGGGCCCAGGGGTAACCTGAGCACCGCAGTCCAGGTCCGGTCCAACAGGGTCTAAGCAAGACACGAGGCAGGAACCCAGGCAAGGTCAGGTACAGAATCTCAGGCAGGATCTGGCAAACAGCAATGTTGCTCCCACAACCTGGGGCGGGGTGCGACAGCCTTTTATCTTAGTCGGGGTAACGGCCGGTCCTGATCCCCTGGTGACTCACCTCCCTGTCTCACCCGAAGGCGAGCACTCCTCCTGCGAGTACTCAGGTACAGTGGTACCTTGGGTTACATACGCTTCAGGTTACACACTCTGCTAACCCAGAATTAGTGCTTCAGGTTAAGAACTTTGCTTCAGGATGAGAACAGAAATCGTGCTCCAGCAGCGCGGCGGCAGCAGGAGGCCCCATTAGCTAAAGTGGTGTTTCAGGTTAAGAACGGACCTCCGGAACGAATTAAGTACTTAACCTGAGGTACCACTGTATCTCCTCTCAGACCTTAGTCTCTGCAGCTCGGGAGATGTCAGTGAGCTACTAGACCCAGGGGCCGCCTCAGCCGCCCCTGACCCAAACGGTAGTGGAGCAGCTGTAAGTGATGGCCCAGCTGAAGGCAACGAGATAATCCCCGCATCTGGAGCCAGGGCAGGCTGGGCCCCTGACTCGGCCCAGCTGGTGCTTGTTGCAGGGGAACCTGTGCAGATTGGGGCTCTTCAGGATCAGGCCCCAGACTTGGTTCAGATGACTCCTGAGGCAAAGGATCCGGTGCAGACTGAGACTCCTCTGGTTCCGAGTCCGAGTCCCAGGCTGAGTCCCAGGCCATCACACCCTGACACAGAGGTCAGTTGCACAGAGGGGTTAGCCAATGGTGCTCCAGACCAAGAAGCAGCGGCCTCATTCTTGCATTAGATACTGGATGAAAACCTCTTGAAGAAAACATTGAAGCGCCTGCAGCAGAACGTTAGGACCAATGTTAGTTCCCCCTGACCCTCGCCAGGATAAGTGATGAACAAACATTGCGTGTGCGCAGTGCACAGGTTTTCTGTCCTAGGTGGAGGAGGACCGAGGTGGGTAAGGTCTGGGCTTGTCTCCTTCCCATTCACCCCCACCCCTCCCCTTACCCCAAGTCCTTCTCCCTATAGAGGAACTAATATACAGTCCCTAACAAAATCTGCTCATTCTGCCCATGCCCCTGACTAGCTTCCCCTTCTCAGATATTAAGTATTCAAACCTCATTTACATCCTTATTTTTCAATTTGCTGCCACAGTAGTTTAATTTATTCTATATAATTTCTTTTTCTGAGGGGACATTAATCATTGCCCTGTGCTTTTGGGCGCCTCTGGGATGTGTGTGCATGTGTGTGTGTGTCTGCGTGGGGCTGCTTTTTTTTTTTTAATCAATAAAACAAAGCAACCCTCCTCCCTCTGCAAGCCCCCGCCCCATCAAGTACCCACCCTACTCCCCCCCCTTTGCCGGAGGAGAGAAACATAATTTCTTTCTCACTTTTTTTTTCATTGTTTCCTATATGTTTGAAGATTAATTCCTCTCCATGTTTCTGACAAGTGTGGGTGAGAAGGGACAGTGTGTGCCAGTACTAGAGAAGAGGCAAGCTTCCCTGCTGCAGAGCAGAAGTTTGGACCTGCTTCTTGAAGAAAATGTAAAATAATGAATTTTGCTTTCTTTCCTGGAGGGGGAAAAGTACCCTCCTGTCATTTTGGTTATTATGGCTAGCATGGAGGAGACAAAACGGTTGGGATATTGCGAGCTGACCCTAAGAAGTCTGAGAAAAGGGAGAATCATAGAATCACAGAATTGTAGAGCTGGAAGAGACCACAACAGTCATTTAGTCCAACCCCACGCAATGCGGGAATATTTTTGCCCAGTGTAGCTTCAAACACATGATCCTGAGATTAAAGGTCTTTTGGGTGACAGCAGCCACGAAATTAAAAGATGCCTGCTTCTTGGGAGAAAAGCAATGACAAACCTAGACAGCATCTTAAAAAGCAGAGACATCACCTTGCCAACAAAGGTCCGTATAGTTAAAGCTATGGTTTTCCCAGTAGTGATGTATGGAAGTGAGAGCTGGACCATCAAGAAGGCTGATCGCCGAAGAATTGGTGCTTTTGAATTATGGTGCTGGAGGAGACTCTTGAGAGTCCCATGGACTGCAAGAAGATCAAACCTATCCATTCTTAAGGAAATCAGCCCTGAGTGCTCACTGGAGGGACAGATCGTGAAGCTGAGGCTCCAATACTTTGGCCACCTCTTGAGAAGAGAAGACTCCCTGGAAAAGACCCTGATGTTGGGAAAGATGGAGGGCACAATTAGAAGGGGACGACAGAGGACGAGATGGTTGGATAGTGTTCTCGAAGCTACCAGCATGAGTTTGACCCAACTGTGGGAGGCAGTGGAAGACAGGAGTGCCTGGCGTGCTCTGGTCCATGGGGTCATGAAGAGTCGGACACGACTAAATGACTAAACAACAACAATGTTCTACCGACTGAGCTATCCTGTGCATTACCCTTTGCTCTGGTTCCAGTGTGTCCCCCCTACCCCGTGTTTGAAACTGAGGACACTCGGCGCCAGCCACAATCCTGTAGTTTCTTGAGAAATAGGGATGCGGGTGGCACTGTGGGTTAAACCACAGAGCCTAGGACTTGCCGATCAGAAGGTCGGCGGTTCGAATCCCCGCGACGGGGTGAGCTCCCGTTGCTCGGTCCCTGCTCCTGCCCACCTAGAAGTTCGAAAGCACGTCAAAGTGCAAGTAGATAAATAGGTACCGCTGCAGCAGGAAGGTAAATGGCGTTTCTGTGCGCTGCTCTGGTTTGCCAGAAGCGGCTTAGTCATGCTGGCCACATCCCGCTGTCTGCAGACAAACATCAGCTCCCTCGGCCACTAAAGTGAGATGAGTGCCGCAACCCCAGAGTCGTCCGCGACTGGACTTAACGGTCCGGGGTCCCTTTACCTTTACATTCTAGGTGCAAAAAATCCAGAGGTTTATACCCACCAGCCACCCTCTCTCTGTGTGTCTTCCAGCTGGTCAAAAGCACTTAAGGAGAGACCGCAGAGCAGGGCTGGTTGCAGTCATTTTCATTTGAAGTGACATTTGTGCCCTTACGAAAAAAGAAGAGCGTACTACCTCAAATTCAAGCATACGAATTTGGCCTAAGTGACAGAATGGTGTGATAATCTTGAAAGAAGAATCACAGAACTCTGCTCCCAGGTATTACGCTCTGATGTTTCTGAATGCCAATATAGGCGTTTGTTTATTTCAATGATTTGTAAACTGCCCTTCCATATGAATATTTCCAGCGTGATTGACAAGGTAATCAGAAGAATAGAACCAGCAAAAGATCAGAGAAATTATACAAAAGGTCAAGCACAGCACTAAAACGTTATCCTCAAAAGTTCAAAGTCTGAGAAAATAGAGAAGTGCCACTGGTGCGTTTTTTTGCAGCTGCATCACACTGTTGACTCGTGTTAAGCTTGTGGTCCACCAAGACCAATCTGGGTGTTCCTCATCCTATATTTGTGCATCTGATTATTCCTAAGTGCAGAACCTGACATTTGTCCTCCTTGAAATTCATTTTGTTTGTTTTGGCCCAGTTCTCCAATCTGTTAAAGTGATGGAACACTCTATCAAATAGTTTTCTCCTCTTTCGTGAAATTGTCCTCTTAGGCACTGCCAAAAAGGTCAAAATGCGACACTTTTGCAGGTGTGAATTTATATGTATAGATGCAAATTCAGAAATATTTACTATAATTTTAATAGAAAAATAATACATCTCACCAGTGAGGGAAGATGGTGACTAGGAGAACTGTCTAGGAGAACTGCCTGCTCAGGCTGCTGTCAAGGTACTAGCTTCTGATGGGCAACTTCAAGGCCCCATTTCCCCTTTTTGCTGATGGATAGATGATGGAAAGCTCTAGAAGCCACTCTCAAGTTAGCTAGAGTCATTCATGCAAGAATATAGGAAAGTACTTCAGGGTGGCAAATGGT